CAAGACACTACCTGACCTTTAGTCGGTCGCCACTGCTGTTGCATCATCCACCGATCTAGTTGGAGGAAACAGGAGTCGGCCCCTAAAAATGAAGGTCTCCAAAGCCGTTGCCGGCCTTGTGTCCGCCACCGTCCTCTTCGGCTTCGCTCCTGCAGTGTTGGCAGATGAGGCGGGATTCTTGGCTCGCTTGCGTCAGGCCCTCGGCAAAGGGCATACCAATAAGGCCAATGACCCTCATTACGATCTTTATGGCGGTTATACCCCAGAGGAGAAAGTTTACAGTTATCCACCTTATGGATATCACCCACCTCCACCTCCTCCACCGCCTTCTTCGACAACGTCAGCATCTGATGAGCCAGTTACAACAACCAGTCGAGGTAAGTGACCTAAGAAGGGCCAAGCAAGACCGGGAAAGAACACTAACAGCTGCTAGAATATGGGTCTGAGACTTCGAGCTCATCATCCCCAACCGGCTCTGAGACTTCAGAGACAGATGCGTATGGATCAAGTACCACAACTCGTCCCCCGACGCCACGCCCTACTACGAGCTCAGCAAGCTCAACGGGCCATGTGAGCTCAGGCAGTTCTCAGACGAGTCTAACAGCTCCTGAAAGTGGACTCTCTTCGTCCATGCCTACCGCTACATCTTCTGGGTTCACAAATATTTCTTCATCCACGGCTCCTGAGTCTTTGTCGTCAGGTTACAGCTCCTCTGCACCATCGTCGTCTGGCTCGTCTGCATCAATATCAGATAATCTTTCCGCATCGCCTACCTTGAATTCCACGACAATCTCTCCCGCATCCTCTTCAGGCCATAGCAGCCAGCCGTCCAGTATTTCTGACTCAACACCTTTACTTAATACCACTTCAGTAGTATCTACTACATCGGCCGATTCTGCTTCAGAGACGGCAAGCCCTACGTCAGGTGGTACCACATCATTGACCTCACCTAGTCCACTGATCTCCATTAGCATCAGTATTGGCCCGGAGAGCTCATCTTTCTCAAACTCAAGCACTGGGGCAGCAACAGTACCGCCTAGCAGCGAATCAAGTAGTTCTACTTCACTCGCTACGTCGGAACCCTTTCCGTTCACCAACTCTTCGAGCCCAGGTCCCAGCGTCGGTCCCACTGGCTCGAGTGTTCCGATGCCTACTGGTGGTTCTTCAACTAGACTATACACTCCGACGTCTGGGGCAACGTCCTTCCCTGCATCCGGTGGTTCAAGCCTCCCAACCTCTTCAACCAGCTTGTCGGGGACATCAGTCCCTTTCCCAGTTTCAGCTAATAGCACAGCTGCTGGCCCTTCCAGCGGCAGTGGCATCTTGCCCTCAGGCTCTAGTTCTCCACCATTCCCGGCATCAAACTCAACCTCGGGGTTCCCAACATCCGGGACGTTGACACCTCCGTCTGGTACAAGTGCTTCTGCGCCAACATCATCGAGTTCGTACTACCCAAGTTCTAACTCCTCAGGCCTTCCCGCTGGTGTATCAACCAACGGAAGTACATTTCCGGGTACCGGCTCCAGTCCCACAAGCGCATCTACCACTGGCTTTACGCCCCCTTTGTCTGGGAGCATCTTACCATCAGGATCCTCCTCGGCCCCTTTCCCTGTCACAAACTCATCTGCACCTCTCACGGGCTCAACTGGGCCAAGTGCAACGGGATCAACCACTCCCCTAGAATCATCTTTGACAGCCCCGTATCCGGTATCCAACTCATCTGGGATTATTCCCAGTTCTACCGGAGCTGGCTTTGGAACAGGCTCTTCGACTTTGCCTGCATCAACAAACGCCCCGGAATCTTCCACTACTTATCCCTTATTTAATTCTACTGTCCCTATGGGAACAGGTACCACTCCCTTAGTCCCAGAATCTACGGGAACTGGAGGCCCTATCGGCTCGGTGCTACCAACGTCTATTCCTGGCTCGCCATCGGTTCCTTTCCCACTCACAAACAGTACTGGGCCGGTTACCGGAACAGGTACTTCGCCGTCAGGACCAATTTCCTCCGGTTCTGCACCGCTCACGTCAAGCTCAGTGCCCTTAAGCAATGTTACCGCATCAGCTCCTCTCAGCTCATCCGCTGGATACGGATCCAGTCTTCCTTTGACATCAAGCACCCCTTACCCTGCCGGAAATTCATCATCACCAAATATTGGCACAGGAAGTGGGATGCCTACTATTCCCCTTTCCACGCAGACTGGTGCACCCAGCGTCCCTTATCCCTTGCCAAACAGCACAAACTCTGTTCCTGGGACCGGAGCAAGCACAGCTCCTTTAGTAACCGGGCCGTCCGTGATAAGTAGCGCACCAACCTCAGAAGCAGGTCCCACGGGTGGCTCTACAGCTCCCGGTACTGGCACTTCTGGTTTCCCTCTAAGCTCCTTGGCACCCAGTAATTCATCAGGGCCATATCCTTTCCCAAACTCGACCACGACACTTCCTGGTGCCACTGGACCTTCAGCAACTGGCGGTACGTCATTGACAAGCACCGAATTGCCTGCAAGTCCCCTTCCGAGCAACAGTGCTCCTCTTGGCACTGGAGCTTCGAGCGGCCTGCCATCTACCAGCAGTCCTGCAGCTTCAAATGCCCCGTTCCCCTTGACAAATTCAACATCAGGTTTACCGGGTCCTACTGGTACAGGAACGAGCCCAATCAGTGAAGCATCAACTTCGGCAACTTTGTCCGAAAGTTCAGTATCCATGCCATATCCGTATCCAAACACGACATTGCCCGCTCTTACCAGTGGGACAGGTCAGATACCTGGTACCGGATCAACCAGCCCTATTCCTACTGGGGGTCTCTCTTCTTCAGCACCGTTCCCTCTTTCAAACGCGACATCGCCGTATCCGATCACTGGCACAGGGTCCCCAACATTGGTAACTGGCACAGGAATTTCGAGTCCATTGTCAAGTGCATCGTCCATCCCATCAGCTCCATTTCCCATCTCTAATGGAACATTGCCCGTTCCTGGGACTGTTACCGGGACACAACCAGCTGGTACAGGCTCATCAAGCGTGTTGCCCAGTGTGGCTTCCACCTCTACGCCCTACCCCTATCCCAATGGTACATCGGCGACTGGGACAGGCTCTTCCGGCCCGACAGCTCCATATCCCCTTGGAAATTCGACTACGCCCGTAGCTGGCTCTTCTGGGAGCTCACCACTTACAACCACAGGCTACGAAACTTCGGAAACAGCTCCAGGAACTACAGCTTCACCACCATATCCTGCCGGCAACTCGAGCATTCCAGCAGGCTCTACTGGAACAGGAAATGGCAATGCCCCGTCAAGCACCCCTCTCTATCCCACATCGCAGTTCCCCACGAAAGGACCTCCTTTCCCAGCCGCGAACTCAACCTCAATTGTTGGGCCTTCCAATCCTTCCATCATACCTAGCGGTTCCATTCCCGGGTCTGTCACCACAGCGCTCCAAACCGGTCCCGGGGTCATTACGAGCAATGCTCCGTACCCGTTAACTAACTGGACCTCTTCCCTGGGACCAACGGGCACTTCTGTGCCGAGTAGCGGACTTGGCCCTGGTCTTTCATCGAGCTTTGCCCCATATCCACTGTCCAATTCGACTACCGGGAGCAATCCTACAGTCGACACTACTTCACCTTTGAGCTCAGGGACGGCAGCACCTGGTCAAGAAACCTCACAAAGCTTGACTTATGCTCCTTACCCGCTCACGAACGCAACTACCACAGCCCCTCTGACGGGCTCTGGAGGTTCAAGTCTGACGAGTCCTGCCTTGACGTCGCCTACCAGCGGAGCTCCTTTCCCATTGTCAAACTCGACGATGACTCAGGGCCCCACTGGTAGCATTGGGACGTCGGGCAGCCCTGGTGGCTCTTCCCCCTCGGGAGGAATATCAACAAACCAACCTGAGTCTGGTAGCTCTGCCCCCTATCCATTGACTAACAATACTTCACAACCAGCACCAACAGGAGCACCCCCAGGGACCGGCTCGTTGACTGTTCCATTTTTCACGACACCAGTCGGATCCTCTTCTGGTGCACCCGTTAGCACTGTACCGTTCCCTCTGTCGAATGGTACGAGCAATGTGCCAACCGGAACAGCAGGAACTGGTAGTGTCCTGTCCTCTACCACGCCTGTGACAGGGTCATTTTCCAACTCTGGAACGGGCTCTATCCCTACTCCAACAGGCGGCATTTCCAACTCAGCGCCGTACCCATTGTCTAACTCTACCACTTCTGGTGGACCTACTGCCGGACCTACTGGCTCGTCCAGCGGCACAGAATCCCCGATCGTTACATCAAGACCCTACACTTCAGCCCCATATCCAGTTTCAAACACGAGCCTGTCTTCAGATTCTACCGGTGGCCCAATAACGCCACCCAGCTCGGGATCAGGACCGTCCGGCATCTTCACCACGGCTCCAGTCTCATCCGGCTCTTCTTACTCGTCTGCTGAGGCAACCTCGGCACCATATCCCTTGACAAATTCCACTACTCCTTCGCCAGCAGGCACGGCTGGAAGTGGATCGATGCCTCTTTTCACCCCGAGCATCTCTCCTTCCTCGGGCCCATCCGGAACAGGTGCAAGCAGTGCAGCTTTGACATCTGATACCGCTACACCACCTTATCCGACATCGAATGGAACCGCAACTGTACCTTACGATACGACATGCACAGAAGAGTGGACACCGCCTCCCGAGACAAGCCCATGCAACAGTACTGAGTTCTCAGCCTGGCCAACATCAACTCCCACAGGCAGTCCAATCTCCAGCTATTTCCCAACGGTGTCCTGCAACGAGACTACATTCCTCACCTATTACTCTCCCGGCCCAACACTGCCAACCTCCTCAGGTAGCCTGAGCTCAACATCAGTCCCAGAAACACAAAGTGGTATGAATCGGTCCCACGCCCCTTTTTTGATACCCACTTACTAACAATGGACACAGAAACAGAGTCAAGCTCCACCACTTCCACGACTGGTTATGGAAGCCCCTCTAGCAGTACACGGGAGTACACGCCCCCCGCGTCATCCCCTGCTTATAACCCAATCGACTCCGGCATGGGCCCGCTAGATCATCATCATAACCATAGCAGCGGACCATTGTAAGGGTCTTGAAGAGAGGACGATGACAAAGAAGACCATGGCTACAGTCTCACGAAAACTACGTCGCGAAGTCAGCACTGCACAGCTTTTGGTTGTCGTTATGCCTCCTACCACCGGCTAGGCAGAGAAATTTTCTGCTTGAGAATGAGTATTTGTTGGTGTGATTATATGGAAGTCTTTTGAAGCACATATTTCTGTACGTCTTCTAATCTGCTGCTATCCTGCGCCAGCTAGTTTAAGCAGGGCGTTGTCAAATTCTTTTTCTTCTTTTCGTTTTTTGTTTTTTTTGGGGGAGGGGGGGGGGGGTGGGGGGGGGTGAATGATGCTGAGGGGGGGGGGGGGGTGGGGGGGGG